TTAAAAGAAGCAATTATGGTTTAAATATAAGCAAAAAAAAGGGAATAAAAACAGTACAAGTCTGCACACAGTTAGGGAGTTAGCAACTTTTCTTTTTACTACTATGTGGAAATGTGAATACACAAAGATTCAAGTACTGTATATTATATGTTTTAACAATCTTTTGGTAGGTTAAAAGCAGGGTATAGGAGCTATTATTGGTAATAACAGTCTTAAAATCAAACATGGTGGGTGTTACCTGGGAAGCCTGAATCTCCGGGTTGTCCTTTAGCTCCCGATCTTCCGGGATAACCATAGCTCTCTCCGGAAGAACCTGAGGAACAAAACACGTGAGTCAAAGTCTGCATTTACACTTTCATAAACATATATGATTGAGTGTGCGCTCACCTTTGCCTCCTGGTCGGCCATTTTCTCCAGGATTTCCATTGAAACCAGGTGTGCCGTCATCACCCTGAAAGCATCCAATCAGTGAGTCTCATTGGTAATAATAATAATAATAATAATAGGTTTATTTAGTATAGCACCTTTCACAGAAATACAATTCACAAAGTGCTTCACAAGAAAGAACAAAAATTAAAATTACATGAGGCAGAAATGTAAGGTTAACATAAAAACAAAACACGAAAAGTCCTGAAATGAACACACATGTTTTTCAATAACAAATGTATTTTTTAAGCAAAAAAAGAAAAAGAAAAAATATATTGATAGAAACAGTTTTTTGTGATTTTAAGTATGTTTTCTTACCCTCGGTCCAGACAAGCCGGGGAATCCCATAATACCAGATTCTCCTTTTGGTCCGGGGTATCCTGGTGTACCTGGTTGCCCAGGGTAACCAGGTACTCCAGGCTGTCCTTTGCTCTGTTCGGCGTAACCAGGAAGTCCGGGAAGACCCTGACGACCAGGTTGACCCGGGAAACCCTTGTCACCTGAGAGCGGAGGCAGATATAATCAGAATAATAATAATAAAAAAAACATAATAATAATAAAATAATACAAATAATATTAAAGAGAGCAGACGCAGATTTAATCAGATCATCAGAATAATAAAACATTTAAAACATAATAATAATAATAATAATAANTAAATATGATGTCCTTTTGTGCTATCTGTTGTTTTATGTTCATGTTGTAACCTACTTGCTGCCATGTTGGACAGGTCTCCCTTGAAAAAGAGATTGATGATCTCAATGTGACCATCTGGTTAAATAAAGGTTTAAAAAATAAAAATTAAAAATTAAAAAAATGTATGTAAAATTAAAAATCAAAATAAATCGCGGTAGATTTTTTCAGTCTCAAAACGGTATTGAGACATTTATTTACCGCGATATCTCGTTACATCCCTACTAACTCCTTATAATGACACGAAGGCAGAAAGCACATTATACAAATAATAATACTCATAATAATGATAATAGCAGATATTCTTTTTTTAACAATGACAACAATATAATTATTTTACTAAACCACATATTAACAATTGAGGAAAATGAGAAAGAACTGATGATTCAAATGTTGTAGTACAAGTAGTAATATAGTTTGTGCATAAATTACTATTACAACAAATGTGTTCATTTTCTTCATTATTAGTCGATTTCTTGGAAGAATGCTCTTTGGTCAACGGTTACAATGGTGGGGCCAGTGATAATGAACCGGGCCAGTGGAATTTTACCCTTAATGTCTACCCCCAGCCAAAAGGAAGTCGTTCTACAAACTGGACTTCTCTTGATTCCTGCTAAAACAGAACTGCAGTTCAATTTGTGTGAAATGTCATAACTAACATATGAATTCCTGACTGATTGCCGAAAACATGTTTCGTGAGATCACAGTCACCAAATGCTTATCAGTTTTCCTTGAGTTTTAGTGGTTGTTTGCCCCAAATTGGAAGTAATTGCCTCCAGCCGCCCCTGAAAAAGGAAAATGTGACAGAAGGACAACCTGAAGACAAAATGCCTCAGTGCAAATTTTTCAAATTAACCCCCGCCCGCAAACACACAAAAATCTGAGGTCTGAAAAGGAACGTTACATACCTACTAATGTCCACAGTAATGACATTTACATGTCTAATATGTGTAATATGTAATTCTAAAGCGCTTTGAGCACCTGTAAAAGCGCTCTAATAAAAAATGTAATTCATTGTTATTATTATTATTATTATTATTATTATTACTACTAATAAAGACAGTTTAACAGTTTGACAGTTCTCCTAACTGAAGAGCAGTCAAATAAATAACATGTCTGTGGCTGGTGATGGTATTGGTGGAGACGAGACCCACCTGAAGAGCCAGGGAGCGCCCACGCCTCAGGAAGGAGGTGAAGGAATACATCACCAAGGAGACCACCAATAGCAAAGCTCAACAGCTGCTTCAGCTTCCGACCACCAGCTGAGAAAACACATTAGAAAAAAGGTAGCAATTAGGCTACATGATGCTTTTAATAAAAATGTATAATATAACTTTATTTACGGCTTCACAGTTTCTTTCTCCTCCATTTAGAAGGCAGCTTTTCTACACTTCATTTTTTTTTTTTTTAACAGGATTTTTTTTTCTGCTTTAGGAGTTTCCTCAGTAATGACTAACCTCTGGTCAGGACTGGACTTGAAACCCACCAGCCTAAAATAAATCATGAAAATGAATGCCACATTCTTGTGGGTGGGGCCACTCAAGAGGCCACTGGCTGACATATACTAACAGAGGCCTGGTTATTGAAATCTTGTAAAGGTTTTCATTGATGTCAAAGGAAGAAACTCACAAACTTTGGTGGTTGACTACTAGACGTCTCATCTAGTGCTGCTAGAAGGTAACCATTTTCATGATATCTCAACATCTTCAACATGTAATGGACACTTTTGCTTCCCCAACAGACAATGTATAATCCTAATGACTTTAATCAGAGAGCAACCTGCCTTCATAGACTTTATTTTTCTCCACTGTGTATTTTTCCATTCAAGTTAGTTGATGTTGAACTGGATTACCTTAAAACTGACAGCTGGACAATATTACTATTAAGGACAAAAAACATGTCTTGCTACTGATTTTTTTATTTAATTGGAAGAAACGAATACTGTAAATGTACCTAATTTACCGTTTTAAAGTCGTTAGTGTCTTTTATATTCTTCAATATAAGGACATGGTTATTCAAAGAAAAATGCATTCAGTTTTCCAAGTACTTGGAGAGCCGATTTCATAGGATCTTTAAAAATGTACACCATCTACAATTTTATACCATCAAGAGGGTGGATCTGGTTCAAGACTGGCTGACAAAGACCAAGAACCACTTCTTGTTGATGCCACTGAGGTTACTTCCACTTGTTAAAGGGTGTAGAGGTCAAATATTTACAATCGAGCCACTAAAGAGCTGGCATTTGACGTATATATAGATGATGGGTTAATGAGGCGCAATAATTTCTCTCTTTAACAGCAGATATTTGAACCTTGAACTCTTCTGCTTTCACCACTGCAGTCTTTTCTAAGTTTGAGAGGTGTTTAACAGATGCATGGCGTTATCTGTGTTCATTTGACATGCATATATTGAAATACTAAACCTAGCATATCATTATCATTATTGAATTAGGCAAAACTATTGATAGTATTATATGTTTACCTGCTGCCATCTCTTACCTTCTGATTTGAGGGCTGCTCCAGCTTCAATGGGAATCACCAGAAGAGGTAAAATCCCAGTGAGACCGACAGCAACAGAGCCCACGAGGGACAGGAGCCAGACATGAGCCTGTTCGCTGGATAAGAAGTTCGATATTTCACGGTAGCCTGGGAGTCCGTCTGTCAGGCCGAGGCCCGGTCCAGCAGCCGAGGCTGTGGCCTGAGCCATAGCTGTTTGTGTCATCTTGTGGCTACTTAAGGCCCCCCTGGAGGTCAGCACCAGCAGAGTGACTGGGATAAACAGAGCAGCTACAGCCCAGCTGGGCTTCTTACAGCTTACACCTTTCATCCGTCACACGGTCCAGAAAGCACTTGCAACGAGTAATGCTGCAAGAGGACAAACACAGAGGTGACACGTTGAGACAAACAGGCATCTCCTGCAATTTATCTAACGTCCACGAACATTGTAAATAGCCATTTTATTAAGGCACTCACAATTATGTTCAATACTCGATACATTTCGTGTGTGGTTTGGTATGTTAATCAGAAGAAAGTCCTGTCACAGTATCCAAGAGCCAAGGTGGTCTTCAAATAGCTTGTTTACTATGCCTGACTAAACCAAAATCATCCCAATCAAAAAGCTGGAATCAGCTCACTTGCACTGTTGCCAAACAAATGTTCTGTAATTTTCAACCAGATGTAAATTGTTGTCAATCTGACCAGAGGCTGGGCCATGCTGTGATAAAAGTAAAGTTGTGCCAGGAAAAGAAAAGTCCAGAAATACCAGACTGCTTCCCTTTGGCAGCTGCCTGTGGAAATCCTGGCCATGCCTCACTCATAGGTACCGTTACAGGGAAAGGTTTAAGCTGAAAACTATTTGCAAACAAGTATTAATATGAAGCAGAAAGGTTGCAACAGTAACAACAGATGTTTATAAGTGTTTTAAAATCATCTGCTGCTCATCATGCTCCTGTGTGTGCACCGACTCGACCATAAGACAGTAAACACGTTACATTTCCACAATATGAACTAAACAGTACAAGAAAACACCACACAGCTAAACAACTCGTGAAGTAAACATTGCATTGAAAGCTTTTGGGAGCGACTTAGTGAGTTAGCTCCGTGGATAAAAGTTAGCAGGCTAGCGTTAGCCTGTAAACACTGAGACCTGCTGCACACATTAGCTGCGACAGATGCAATCTCTGCAAAACAACACTATCTCTTGTAACATCAGTTCGAGTAAGTTAGTGATAACAGTACGGGCCGAAAGAGGCATACAAAAACGACGTTACTGTGACATTTTCGGTTATAAATACCTTGTGGTTTCTGCAGTCTGTGCTCCAGTGTGTCCCTGCCACCCAGGCCGGTGTGATGAAGGCTGACTCTGCCGAGCAGGATCCGCGAGCTGCAGTAGTCACCACGGCTCTCCAAAACAGCCACGTGTCAGGATCCTGGAGGGGAAAACACCATAAACAGGAGAGGAGACTCAGGACATGGATCCCGCCCATCCCGCCCCACTCAACATTTCAGGAAGTAACTTTATTTTTTGCCCCAAGGACACTAATTCATTTTCCACACCCAGGAGCAGATGTATTCTAAAAAGTTAAAATGAGCGAACCCCATGAACTCATCTGGCAGGTTTCAGGCCTAAAGGCTACATTAGCTGGCAAGAAAGTATTTGATGTTCAAATGTAGGCACATTTAACACAGTCACAGAATCCAATACATTGAATCTGAAATCACAGCATTTAACCAAACCAAAACAGTGCTATAGTCAAGTCCTTTAGGAGATGTTCCAGATGTTTGAAGGATTCAACATACGCACCCCATATTATTTTAATGTTAACAAAGTAGCCTAACATAGATTAACCTTTCACTACAGCTTTTTTCTTATACTTTTCCACAGGTACAGCCTGCATGGACAACAGCGCTTTGCTGAGATGGGGCCCTTGAGAACATCATTGATGATAGGCCTGCACCAATACACTCCCCACGGTAGCTTGTGTACCACAGAAGCTGTTTTGAGACCTTTGATGGGTGTTTATATGTCTTTCTGTAGACATTTTGTTCAGCGCCAGTGTGACAACTGTGCAACATGCAGTCCTATATATTTGGAGTTTTGCCAGGATTTTATTTAATTGATTCTGTCCTTCTTTGTGCTAAAAAATTCACAGTTTAAAATATAAAATAACAGCCTCAAAGAAATTAATGTTTCAGTAGTTTACTGCCACCCTACATGAGCCCACACTCAAATAACTGAAGAACATGACTATTCAACACCAATTGACTCTCTTTTAAACTTCATCACACACCTCATATTTAATATCCTAAGTCTTCAGATTTTGGATCATTTCTAATTAAGACATTTATTAATAATTTCTGGTAAATCCAGCCTGTGGGTTTGGATATGATTTGAAGAGAGTCTGATTGTTACATTGTTTGTTTCTGAACCCAAGCTAACAAACAATGTATAACCCTGGAACCAAACCATTCAAGTTTCACTGTGCTTCATATTGAGAATTTGTTGCAGTAATGAGCTTTAGATAGTTTATTTCAAGTAGACAAACAACAAGTAGCCTGGCAAAACAATATGAAGGTTTAACTGGTAAGACTCAGAGCCACACCATCCTCGCAACAATGTTCTTTCTGGTATAAATATACCAGTTGAAATTGATCAAATGGGGTTTATTAATAAACTGCACAAGCTACATGAGATGTGTGCAGTTCAGAAACCAGGCAGGGGTCCAACAGAGAAATTACAGACCCTTTGTGTATCAATAAGTGTGTTTCACACACAGCTCAGTCTCTGTCAGGAGGGGTAGTTATCTTGTAGCCTGCAAATATCCAATACAATATACATGTACTTTTCACCCCTAACATATCTGACACCTGTAGTGTTGGTGTGCTAGTTACTTTGACTTAACATAAAACACATGATAACCTTACTGTATACGGGAAAATGCGTTCTTATCGAATAATCTAGTGGTTGGCACCCTTTGTGAGCCAAAACAAGAAGTGTCATGTTTGAGCTCCTGGTAGTCTTGTACTAACTCAATTTGACTAAATCCTGAACTAAATCAATTAAAATGTAAATAAACTTGCTCCAGCTCAAGCAGCTACAATAGTGACATGCTATTTACAATACTGTACATGCATCAGTATTAATCTTACAATATGAGATCATGAATGAGATCATTTTGCTGTCACTACTTTTGTAATATTTTGGAGTTTGTTGGATTTGAATGCAGAACTTTTACTTATAGTGGAGCAGTTTGTTGCTAGATAGTTTAACCATCTCAAAAGCCTAAATATGTTCTTCTCTTTTAAAATAGTGAGTCATTGGAAGTATTTGATCTGTTTTGTGTTTAGCACCTGTCAGAGTTCACAGCAAGCATTTTGCTAATTTAGGGCCCTACAGGTAGTCAACACTGCATCACAACCTCACCTCTAGAAGATTTACTGCTCTTAATAATAAACAGCGCTGGCCAGCAGGTGGTGCATGTGACAGGAGTTTACTGCATAAATGATGGTAAGACATGTGCCCCGACAACTGCCAAGAGACACATCTCGTTATATTATGACAGCAATAACACTCTATATGCTTTTAAGCCTGTTTTGCACTTAACACAACTCAACAGTCTCTTAAAGTAGAAATGCTTGTCCACCCTTGTTTCCCTTCCTTTTCATTTTAAAATACTTTTTTTTTTAAACTTGTTAACTTACTTTATTACAGCTTGAAATGTTTCAAAGAGTTGAAGAATGAATGATATTGGTCTACATGTTTACGTATACTTGCAAATATAATGATAAATACAATAAAATGACTTAAATGTAATAGTGTACAGTATGATGATGTACAGTCTTAACTCCTGACTTTAACAACACATTGTCGGAGTCAGATGGACAACATGTTCTTTAGAGAAGTTGTTTTTAAGATATAGCAAGTTTAACTGATCTTTAAGTTCTCTATTTTTTTAAATAGACTTGCTAACTGCAACTCTGAAAGGCGGACTTAGCAGAGTGAGATGTGAAGATAACAAAAAACATGATTTAATATCCGCACTGAGTCATCCTTGTGTGACTTGAGCAATACATAAAGAAAGAGGAACTTGATTGTTTAGTGGGATAGAGGCCCGAAGCCTTATATGGGTGTATATAGGTAAATGTGTGTGTTTGTGTGTTGTCTGGTAATGAGATCTCAAAATCGTAGATGTTATAAGACAGAGTGAGACAGCAGATTAGACCTATTATTTTAGATTTGTACCTGTACTGTACGTGTGCGCGCGCATGTCCATCTGCCTTGTGATTCACCCCTGTCTAATAATACCCAGAGCCTTGTCTGATAGTTGAATCTTGTGGAGTCCAGAGAAAATGAGGAATCAGGAATAAGAAGTGAGAGGGCTGGATGTCCCCTTGCACGCATGTCAAGCGACCGTTCCATGTCATTGTGAAACACATGACGGCCACCGAAACCACTGCTGACTGTTAGCCAGGAAGCATGGGTCCTCTGTGTGGACCGTCCACACACAGAACTGAAATATTTAGCATTATTTTCTCTTGTTTTTTTGGATTTCATGAGAATCTTCTAGTGAATGCACTTGTCAAAAGCTCACTCCGTGGATCCAACTTTAGTCTTAATACATCAGTTTGGATGCTTGCTGGATTGCTTTTCAGGCTCCCTGATGATGTTGTGCCTGTTTTTAGCTGAAATCGTTCATAACAAAATTGCATTGAATGTCAACGTGACAATTTGTTTCTGTCTGCTGGTAATGTGTGGCTCGCACTGTAATGAGGCCTGCAGGGGTGTCAATAGATAATAAATGAAATGACACATGTATTTCTGTTTTGAATTGGATTACATTTGCATTCATATCTGCACTGTAATTCTGCTATGTCCATTGTTGACTGGTCAATGTCGAATACATATACAGCAGATTTGATCAATTAATAGCATAAGATAAACCTAGCTTTCTCAAATGAAGTTTTTTTTGTATACATCTTTTTCTGAATAGTTGAATAAAACTTACAACATATGCATTTATCTTTAGAAACATACATTTCACTTAAAAACTGTATTTGCTAGGGATTTAACGATATATCGTGGTAAGTAAATGTCTCAATGCCGTCGTGAGACTGACAAAATCTACCGCGATTTAAACAATTGTTTTAAAATATATATATATATATTTTTTTTTAAACCTTTATTCAACCAGACATTCCCATTGAGATCATCGATCTCTTTTTCAAGGGAGACCTGTCCCACATGGCAGCAAGTAGATTACAACATGAACATAAAACAACAGATAACACAAAAGGACATGGTATTTACAGGGCCTACATGTACATACCTAGAGACATTGACAAGTACCAACAGTATATTTATATCTCGCCCTGTCAATAAGCCTCACCTTCTTGGAAAAACTGTATTATTTGGATGGAGTGGTGGAGAGACAATGCACAGTTTTACCCACTGCTGTCACCAATGGCCAAAGCATATCTCTCTGTCTCAGCAACATCAGTACCAAGCAAGAGAGTTTTTTCCACAGCAGGGGATATTGTAAACGCCCAAACATCCCAGCTTCTACCTGGAAATGTGGACATGCTCATATTCCTAAAAGATAACCTTGATGATGCTGAGTGAGTGAGTTAGTGAGTTAGAGTTGAGTTACTTGAAAAACTAAAGTGAAACTTGATTTATTCTATTGCAGGGTCTGAAAAATTTATTATTTAATAAAGAAAAAAATATGCAAGTAAAACATCTTTTTTTTTAAATTCACATTTTTCTCCCTTTATTTTTCAATATCGCGATAAATATCTTACCGTGGACTTTTTATCGCGATATTATCGTACCGTGAGTTTTTGGTATCGTTACATCCCAAGTATTTGCACATTGTCAGAGTTTCTTTTGGTATAAACTGCTCTGGACACAAAACGGCCCTGAAGCGGCTGCTCTGTTTTTAAAATGAGCTCCCCTCATTCATTTAGTAAGATCAAATGAAAATGAATGAGCTGATTTGAATTGTTGATATTGATTCTAGTTTTGCACATCACAACGACACTCTTTGTCACACCATTATTAGTGCATGCCTCATTTCACAAACATAGTTCTGTAAATACATGCTGACACATTTGTTCATATTCTATCACACTGCTTTCTAAAATATATTTGCTAATTCATAACAAGTACCTTGAAATTAGAACACTAAAGGGAAGGTGTTTTTTAGCTTGTATATAAACCAGTCATTGGAGTGTGACAAAACTACTGTTTAATTATGTTTACAAGCTGTTGCATTAAACACCAAACATTATATTTGAATGTGTCCTTGAGTGTTTGGTAATAACAGCAAATAAAATAAAAAAATAAAAGAGGTTCTGCACTTTTAATAGTCTAATAGGGGTCACATGGTTCATGTCAAAATTAATCAGGGCTCACAGTAGATTCACAGCCTTGAACACTTGTTTTGTAGGAAGAGTTTGTCACCTTCTTTTTTTTAATAAGGAAGGAGAAGAAGAAGAAGAAGAAGAAGAAGAAGAAGAAGAAGCCTTATGTTACCAACCTAAATTGGTAGAATTAAGGAAGTTTTTAGTTCCCCTGCTAATTCAGAGATATATAGAAAGCTGGCTTTTCAACCACCTTTGGCAATTTGCTTCCAGTAGTTCAACAACTCTCCTGTGGACACCTTTACAGCTCATCACTGGAAGTTTTACAGAGAGCGACGGTAAGACCCGGGCAGTCGGTTTTCTGAGTGAGACTGTGGGCGTTTCCTGACTTTCCTTATAGACGACATAACACACTGAGAGGAGATGGGGTTTTAGTAATACTTTGTGTAATTAGGTATAAATTGTTATTGTGTTTATGAGCTAATACATCTGGTATACATATATTGTACTTTCAGCATTTACTTCTTTCTAGAAAAGTCGCTTTTCTTTCTGTGCTTTCTTTTTTTACATTTTGTGAGACTTTATTCTAGATTTTAAGAGTTTTAGTTTTTAACTCATAGCCTGGTCAACTGAAACATAAAGATAGATAGATAGATAGATAGATAGATAGATAGATAGATAGATACATTAACTTAATTCTTATGAGGAAATGTTTTTAACTTTTTTGTGTGCTTAACCATGTAGTATTTGTTTGAGACGTAAAAGTCAACAAAGCATATTATTTTCTCATTTAGGGGTAGTTATCAGAATCAGAATACCTTTTATTAGTCCCACAGAGGGGACATTTATATTGTTACAGCTGAAAAGAGCAGCTTAATGTTACCTAAGAAATTATTTACGTATTCATGTTTCTTTTATATAAAATCCTACTAAATACACGTTTTCTACATCTTTGCTGTTTTTTTGTTCTTTGTTCTTTGCTAAACACAATTAACAAAGTTATTTATTGTATCTATGGAACCACCACAAATATTACTACAGCCTACCCGGGGAATTTTTATTTTTTGGACAAAACCTTTTTTTAAACTGAATTACTCAACTAGCTCAGAAGAAATGGTGAGCGAAGAAGATTTCGAAATGTGAATACTGCCACAGGAGTTACAGAGTGTGGACATCAACCTGCAGTCATTCTGGTCAAACTGATGTTCTGCAGAGGAGGAGTGCAACACTTCCTGTTGCGACGTAGCCTGTATCCTGTTTTCCACAGTCCGTGGTCATGCGTGTCATTCCCCTCTGCAAGGCTGTGTTGGCACAATCTCGTGACCCTGCGCTGTCAATCTTATGAGACTGAATCAAGGGAGACTCCGCATGTCTGAGAAAACTCTGAAAGTCAGCAAAAAATATGTAAAACAGCACGACAAAAGCACCCTGTTGAGAAATGACTGACTTTAGTCTCTCTTGCTAGCAGTTGGTAAGAAGGATTACAGTAAATAACAGGTATTTTTCATTGAATAACCTCTGTGTTTAAAGTGTGAAGTAGGCTGCAGTTACAGTGCTCCCTCCAGAATACTACTAGGCTCCTAATAGAAGTGCATATGAAGATAGTGTTGAGAACATTGACACCTCTATACACTCAAGGGACCAAAGAACACTATGTGACCGTAAATGAAGAGGTGCCAATATAACTGTTTACGCGTTTTGACCATCAAGATGCATATCTCGTGACTGCATTCAGACAGAAAACGTCTCAGTTACACACTGTGGTGCTAGGTGCAAGAAAGCAACACTCGGAGCTACTGCAGGCCTCTATAATGTAACTTCACACTTCGGAACAAATATAACAATGTTGTCAACTTAATGTTTTACTGTTATTTTGCTGTTGATGTTTTTATAGAGTGAAATAAGTATATTAAGTCCCTGCATGTTGACATATTCACTTCAAAAACCTGCTCATTATAAGGAAATCCAATGCATTAGCTCTTTAGTTCAGGCTATAGTCAGTGTGTTGTATGGTTTTCCTGGTTCTTCAATTGTTGCTACTTCCCACAACATCTGTCCAAAGTTGACAAAATGTGTGTACCAGCGCCTTCAGAAGCTCACTTACCCGCTACAACTGGCCAATACATACACAGTCATGTAATCCCCCCCTCTGCTAGCCTTTATGTTGGCTAATGTAAACTAATGTTACCAAAATGATAAAAGGCTTTGTTGTTTCACTGACATTACTGAGCCAGTGTAAATGTTATGATTCATTTCCAGTTGTGTTACAATATGCAGCAATTGACACCAAATTGCTGCAATTGACAGTTGCTGTTGATTAACTACACTTATCTAAGATTTCTTTAAGTAAATATAGTAATGTGCTTAGTTACATTCCACCTCTGCTAACCTTATATTGTGAGGCTTTTCTGTTATTTCATCAGCTGTGAACAAGTGTGGGTGCATGAATAACAGAGGTTAGCTAAAACTGGACATTGTAAGAGTCACATGTTGTTCAGGGCTAATACGTGGATTTAACTATATTAAGCAAGTGTTAGTGGGTCCACCACTGAAACATTACAGTTCATATAGCAGGATCCTTGTTTCTTTGGTTAAAGGAGTTCAAACACCAGTACGTGTATCATGCAATCAAACCGATCTGCCACCAATTGTACATTTATGAAGGTTATAATGTTTACTTTTTGTTAATAAATGTTTTAATTCAAGAAATGTTATTGAGTAGTAGTGGTGTTAATTGGATTACATTATGTTGAATTAGGATTTTACCTAATAAAGTTGTCACTGAGTGTATTATAGGCCCAAAGTATATCAAATAATGTGCATTTCTTTAAACTAAAACAATGAATGATCTTTCAGGGTCTTTTTATTATGTTGTAATCTGCCTGCAGAAAGTGAAACAGACGAGTTAAAGGATTTATCAAAAACGCTCTGGGCTTAAAATAAATGAATCAGGGTTTTTTCTACTTCTGGTTTGTAAGGATTTAAAAAAGGAATGGGTTTGTGACAGTACCTGTAGTTAGTTTTTGAACAGAAATTATTTTCTTGGAATTAAACCCAAACTTCTTCTGTTGTAGTTTCTTACAAAATAATGTTAATGTGTCACACTTGTTGGTTGGTAATTATGAGTGTTTACAGCTATCTTTTAAACTGCACATTGACATTCATAATGTTTACCAATGTCTGATAATTTTTGAAAGATCCTTGACACAATGCAACACTTAGTTTCCTTTAACAAAGCAACAGACCTGTTCAGAGCTCTGGATAATCCTGACACGTAAATGGATCCATTCAACCTTCAAGGAACTGAATCTGAAAGGCACTTTCCTGGTTCCTCATTTAATAATACAGTATATCAATGCATATCCTTTATTCTGAATGTATTTAATCTTTCAGGCCATAAGACAGACAAACAGCCTGAGTACTGTTCTGAGTATAGTCTTTAAAAGGTATCAGACAAAAAGAAGAGAACCACAGAGTTAATGTTGAGTTAATGTTTAGCTGAGAAATTAGATAGTAACGGCAACAAGTGAACTGAACTTCAATTACATACAGTTTTAAATTACACTCGGCAGATGCAGCAGGGATCACATTTAAACAATATTTTCTTTATTCAATACTTCTACAGATTCGCGCCTGGTAAAGTAAGGCATCAACTAAATCTTTCTTTAAAGCTTTTGTGAACTATTTATTGCATTTTTCAAGTAACTTTTTTTTTTACTTCTCTGTTTTGTTTTTTTACTCAATGTGGGAAGGTCTTAGAGTTGAGAAACCTAACAAACTTTGTCAAACGGATTTTATGAGTTCAAATCTGATCAGTTATTTAAAATTATTTCCTAATTTAGTTATTTGAAGTTCTTGCACTCCCCAAAGTCTTATAGGCAGGCTGACTTTAGGATAAATGTTGCTGCTTGTGTTAAAAGTTCAGAGGACCAAAGCGTTTTTAAGTATAAATGAAGGATACATATAAATAGTTCACACATTTGAACAAAAAAACTGAAAAATAGTATGTATTCTCCTCGGTCACCACAGCAGTTGATGGGGCGCTGTGACTTGCATTTGCTTAAATTCAAAGATTAAGTAGTGTTTCTTTGAAGGGTTTCATATAAAATGATCAGCATTGCAATTACCTCTTATTTGAACTTCAGTACAGCTTTGAGGTACTTATTTTTTTCTCCACCACATACAATACATTAACCTGTTGAGGCCTGAGCCTGTTTTTCAGGTCTCAGGCTCGAAAATGACATGCCCAGAACCAGTGCCGTAACTATCGATGGTGCAGCCGGTGCAACGCAGAGCCGGCCAGGGGCCCGTGCAAAATAAAAAACTTTTATTTTTATTTTTTTGGGGCCCCAATGGCATTGACCGGTTCACGCAGTCTTCAAAGTAACCAAGCAACCTAAATTAATTTGTAATTTGTCTGTCCAATGACCTTGCTCCCTTTCATGTCATGTGATACCTTCCGTGACGAGCGAACCGTTTAATCAACCTGCACTGTAGCTAGCAGCAGCAAGTTCGGCAGCATTATAAAAAATGTAATAATGTACAGCAAACCAAAGCACAAGAGCGGCGCTCAAAAGAGAAAGGACAAGAGAGAACAAGGAGATGTGACAGCTAAACTGACGAAATTCTTAATTATGTGAGTTGGATGTAGAAAAGTCAGAATTAATATAGATGTTTTTACTTTAAAGTAAATTCAGATTGAACATAGAAAAATGTAAATTATAGTTTCCGTCCAAAGAAAACCATTACTTATAGTGAAAACCACCCTTGAATGATGGGATAGTAGACAAAAAGCTTTAGGAATCCAAACTATAACAAATAATAAGTACCCTGTATCAAGATTGATGCAAAGCAAGTGACATTTGACCTTTTTAGAGAGGTTTAGGAAAAAAAACATTTGGGTGGATTTGCCATATCTCTGGAACCCATTGGTCGATTTTGGTGATTGACACCTCTTTTGAACCGTTAGAGCCAATATAATCTAGGGGAAGTTCCTAAATCCATCTACACCTTACCATTGAGGAGTGAGAGTGATGCGCACGCAGTTTGCCCAAACCAAAAGCTACGTTACACTCTGAAAACTGAAAACTAGGTTTATTGACATAAATATTATGATGGATTATCAGTAATCATTTCAAGGTGACACAGAGGCATTGGATTAACCTTCAGCAGCGTTTATATGCGCTTTACTGCCATTGAACACAACTTTTGATCAGAACACAGCAAAGGTAAGACGTATTTGCCGTTTTGGCCCAGTAAAGTGAAGTTGTGTGTTGTCTTTGCCAGCTTTCGCTGCCGCGGGTTTTGATCGCGATGATGCCTATACCATTGGAATCTGTGGAATCTCAGCTTTCAGATGATATCTTGTTTGTGCAGATCCAATGAAGTATAAAATATTGCTAACGTCAGTTATGTGCCAAGTGCGTTAGCACTCTTTCTCTTAGTGCTAATTCAGAGGCTTGGCGTTAGACTTGTGTTTCATTTTGGTAAAAATGTTTTATATCGTCAGTTAGCTGACTTTCTTCATGTTCAGTGAGTATGACACATTAATAGGTTGTTAAATGTTAAGAAGCCCTGAGACACAGTTTTGTGAATATTGTTGCGATAGCCCCTGCCGGCGTGGGCTATCGGGCTTAACAGGTTAACTAGCGTTTCAATTTAATAATGTCATCCACGTTAACACATTAATCAATTAGATGATCAAACTTGTGTTACAGCAAGTTGGATTGATTTAAAACACATTAAAATAGTCAAAGTTAAACAAAGAAAACATTTTTAAACAGCTGCTTGTCAATCATTTTCTTGCACAGCATGAATAAAAAGTCACTCAAACGTTATCCTTTGGCTTCTCTCAAACAGTTGTGATGGAAATAGTGGTTGGCGTGCTGCAGCTCTTTGTGTATTAATACTCTCGGAAAATGCTACTGTAAATGTCATCAGTTTTGCTCAGCCAGCTGTGATTAAGATGGGGCCGGTCGAGGTTGCCCACAGCCTGTGTGGTTTTAACAGCTCCCAAAATGAGACTCTGATCATCATCCATAAGCAAGGAAAACAGAAGAGCCATTGAAATAACAACAGACATGAAGACAGAATGATCTACTGTAAACCAACTATCGTACAGTTCTTTCAAACAGCATGTATCATAAATATATGGATAAGAAGTTGAAGTACTGCTTTCCAACAATCATGTCCTCTGATTCTGTGCTTGTGAATGTATCGGACTATGTTGCAACACATATGAAAGCAGTATTTTAAATATGCTTTGACCATGTTTGAGTGTGTATCTGAGATCTCAGCACCCATGGGAATCAACAACTAACCTCAGTAATTTAATCTTACAGAAAGTAATATTTTCAGCGCATTGCCTTATCACAATGCCGCAGTCTTCCTCTTAAACAGACAGCGCTAACAATAAACACTCAGATTTGGGCTTCACTGTTGCTTTACTATTTAACAGTTATCTCTGCAGCTGGGAAATACTTTCAGTTGTTTCAGTTGCCAAAAACTAAATATTGAACTTTTATTTTTGCCCTAATTTAAAGTACAAAGTATATTGCATAACAAACGCATATTACATAAGCAAACCAACTGTTTGAGTTTCCTAATCGCAGAGGGACACTCTGACCCCCCAGGAGCTTTTCTACAGATCATCTATCTGTAGTGATAATCTTCATTTAACCCCAGTGTGGTTTCAACACAGGTACTGGACTGCACCTTTATCTTATCTTCCAGCTGCATGTCGGTGTGATTGTGTCTGTGGCATGACTGTCAACAGTTGTCCTCTGTTGTGTTTACATCACCAACTTAACATGTATAGTCCTTTTTGATACATTATAAGTCTGTCAGTTTCAGGTCTGCATTCAGAGCCGGATGTATACTGTTTACAGTGAGACACTTCCCTTCACACACAAGGTGCTGATAATTAAAAATAATATGTGTCTCAGTAAATCCTGTCTTTGCTGTACATGTGAGGTGTAATTTATAGCATATATTTTAAATAAATATATATATTTTAATAGGATTCTCTAAAAACATCTTTAAGCTTTCTAGTGCTTTTTATTTGAACTGTGAGTTCATTAAACACTACTGTACATAAGAGTCAAAATCATTGTTTGCTCCAGCATATTTAAAAAGCTTATTTTGATGCTGATTTTACTGCATGCTGGCTTCAAAGCTCTATATTATATACATGTTTACAGCATACAGTTTTTATCAGCAAACAGATACAAACAGAAGAACATTTTTGTTTTAATTTATTTTAAATATTAATCAAAACTTCCTCATCTGATGAAGAAATATGTATATTATTACCATATTGTCAATTTATGATGAGAAAACATTTATAAATACCTATCCTTATACGTAGGTACTACATTTCTACAGTATATATTACATTGTCCTCATCATTTGAGGAAATCTACTGCTCTTAAACTAGATTTATTTATTTTTTCCTCTGCATATCATGTCAATCAGACAACTTAGGTGTACTGTACATGATCACAAATGCTTTTTAACTAGAATTATCTTTTTTTTACTCTTACTACTCTGTTGCTATTCTTTGAATGAATTACCTTGCTCTCTGTACTTCATTATTTTGACTTTATTTAAAAATTGACTGGACAATTAGCAACAATTTGATCCATTATTTAATTTAGTCCCACCTTTAGCTGTATTAATGTACGGTTGATTTTAATGTATCATGTATGACAAGTTAATGTATTTGTGGGGATCAATAACTTCTACTGTCTATCTGTGTAGCACTTGCTGAATGGTACACATTATGCCCTGTATTGCAATAACCACATGTTTGCACAGTACAACTGTAGCGCTATTGAGAACAAAGCATGCCAATACAACGAAAATAACACTTTAAATATTCAACAGCTCATGGCACCCTGTTTATCGGTGGAGAAACTGACAGTGAGGAGAAGCTTTATGACGATTGGCTGCTGAGGGAGGGGACAGTATATAGACCCTGATAAATGTGAGGTTTCATGGTCTCCCCTGACAAATCATCAATGGCCAGGAACCTGTAGCAGACACACTCTATTGCTCCCACCCACATACATTTTACAGAAGTCAAAAGTTCCTTTTTCATTTTACAGTCAAACAGCGGGCCTACTTTATTTTATTTAACTTGACTCAGCTGAAGGCCTCCAAGAGTAGCTCAGGTCGTAAGTGTCTGCTATACAATCAGAGAGAGAGAAATTGTAGGGTTTTTCGTTGAGTGAGAGGAAATTTTGAAACATTGTGCAATGGTGCCGCAAAAGTTTTGAAAGGCTGTGAGAGTATTTTTGTCTGCAAAACGTCTGAGAGTCGGACCGTTGAAGAAGAGGTCTCCATGTTGCATCCATACAGAATGGAGAGCTACCTCATCCCGCCTGTAAGTATCTTTCATTTGTATTATTATATAAACTCTGGGGAGACTTTCAAGCATCAAGCAAGCGTCAAGCTTACCTTGACTAAATTGTTTATAATAAGCATTCAACAGAAACACATTTATTAGTCAAGAGGTTGGACAATGTGTGTTATGTCAGATTAGATGACTTAATGTGAGTCTACTACAATTTGAATAGAGCACACAAACTGTAAGAGTCTTTTATACTACGGGCGACATGAAAATGAAACTCAAGACTTCTTGAGAGTTTCAGAAGAGAAGGGGCTAGAAAAAAAAGTCATTATTATAGCACAGACATTACTAATGCTTCTTCTGACTTACAAAATAAAATGTATTTAGATACAATGTGAACTTTATCACAGTCAAAGATCAGATTCACATTGATTTAATGTGGTATCTGCATCATACAGTAAAAAAGTCTTCTTTCATGATTTTGTGGCTGAAAGTGTCTTTATTTACTCTTGCAGCACTCAGAAGAAATGTACGACCCTGAGATCTACAGACATCACATTGCAGAATATTATAATTATGGTAATGTCCTCGACGCAGATATCCATACAGGTGAGTTTTGCTTCAAAATACATTTTGTCTCATGTGCAATGAGAACGGCAGCTTGTTCTATTAAAATACATTGAGTAATGTTACAATTAAAGACATTTTAAGATGGAGATGAATGAGGATGATTGTGGGGCTAGGATGTACATTTAATACACTGCTTTTATTTGAAATTCAATGGAAAATACTGTCATTTAAGTTTTCTATTCTGAATCTTGGAATCAGTCCCCATGACCTGATGCGGTGACACTGTATTTCTGGTGCGTTGTGCATAAAGAGTGCAGCTGGAGCGCACCACATTGGGTGGATGGAACACAGGAAACAGATGCCATTTCTTTCGGCCGCTACAACCTACAGACATAGAACAAACTTTCGCCCCATGGGGTTTTGTTGATTCAAAAGAGGTGCTTTACTTTCTCTTGTAATCAACAGTTTTGAATATTACACCAAAACAATGTATTATGGGGGGGGTGGGGGAACTTTTCCTGACCTTTATAACAAAAGGCGCCACCACTGAGAAAGTGCCAGTTGTCGTTTGATAAAAATATCTTATTCTTATATTTAAATATCTCATTTACTATATCCTTAAAACATATACATTCAAACACTACATATACTGACATACAGTCATTTAATTTCAGTGTTTCAACTTATATCTGATGTGTCTTTATAATGTAGCTTGACTCTATTTTTTTAAGTAGATGCTATGTATAGTAGCAGTAGTTTGCATATTAAATACTTATTAACTTATTATCTGACTCTATTGTTGGTCCTTTATTTCCATAAGTTCACTTGAACCATAGAAAACTTGAAAAGTCACTGTTATTTAATTTATGAATCAATTTTGACAACATGAAAAAGCCAACAAATTTGAAGTAAGGGCTGTAGCAACACTCGCCAGTGAGGCATCAAACAGGAAAGAGCTTCATGCTGCATTCTCTGTTATTCTCCCCATGTCACCCGGTGTATGCAAACTAAAGCACTATGAGTAAGCAGCTAGTTGTCAAGTCTAGTTGCTTTGAACTTAGTCATTTTAGATATTTTATAACGATTATTTTTGCTAGACAAACAGTCTGTCTGTTTTCATGAGCCACCTCTAACCTCTCTAAATATGTATTTCTGCAATACCAATTGTTTTTTAAAGGCTGCAGTATGTTTCAGTAACTTGGGTTAATTTCAAAGAAACCACAGAAAGTTGCAGCCATTACGCTGTTTTCTCATCTCTCTTTCTCTCTCCGCAGATCACTGGGAATACCACCCTCACCCTCACGCACACTCCGTAGAGTTTGAAAACCTCCAAGAGACCAACTTCACAGAGCTGCAGAGTGTGCATGCTCTCCACGCGCCCAGCCTCATACGACACGACGCCATACGGTACGAAGCAGAAAGCCTGCAGGATCCAAACCTTGGGGCACATCCACACGTGTTACAGCAGCCAGTAAGTCCCACTGTCAGAAAACAAACACATGCAGTCAAGACACACACACACACACACACACACACACACACACACACACACACACACACACACACACACACACACACACACACACACACAATGTGCAAAAAACATAAATTAAATATACATTTACCAGATTATCAGATTAAAATGCATAAAACTTAAACTGTCAAATTGACAATGATTACACTAAAGACAAAAGTTAAGTAAGGGTTTCCTGTACTCCTTCCACAAACATAAAAAAGTTGATTGATGCTTAATGACCTTCTTTAACACCTCTGAATCACCAAATATCCTTTTAATTCACTGCAGACGTCCTCAAAGTTGGGTTTAAAATCAGAAAAGACATTCAGAGAGTCAAAGGCCTTTTTAAGGTCCTGTGGCGAAAAATTAGGAAGTGAATCTCTGAGTTACAAGAACAACTTTAATTTAGTCTTTTCTTCTTTATTTCAGTAAAAAAAGGTTTTTCTTTGAATAGAGTCTGAAGGCTTTGCAATGCTCACGGTGTCACTAGGGCAAGCTCCACCCCTCCGGTTTTGAACCAGTGAACCAGAACAGAGATATCTGGTTGAGGACTGCATCAAAGTGCAGTATCTCTAGCCAAGTCAACATTTTCAAATTGGAAATTCTTCCCTACATTTTAAGACCATATTTTCCAGTTTTCAGTGTTCCTTAAAGCATGGGGCACAACTAAATACACTTAAATACACGAATCAACCCATGCACTAAAACTCTATAAATGTTTATTTCAGTCTCACTACTCGTGTTGAATGCAAACCCACAGATGTGCGTCCGATGTTAGGCACAGTAATATACTGTATACTGTATATCTCTAGCAAAATAATATTTCTGAATTAAAACAGTACAACATTCCATACAAAAAAACAACCTTAAATCATCAAAGAGTTTGTTAGATTATGCATCATGTTTTCTAGTGCTCATATGGTTTATAAAAATCCTGACCTGGAAAACCGTATATAAAAGTTGATAAACAAATGTTGTTAAGGGGTACAAACCTTTGTGTGTGTGTGTGTGTGTGTGTGTGTGTGTGTGTGTGTGTGTGTGTGTGTGTGTGTGTGTGTGTGTGTGTGTGTGCGTGTGCGTGTTATCAATCAACTGTACTGTATATGTAGCATTCTCATACAGTGTTGTTTACTAAAATCTTGGAGCAGCATGAAGGAAATTGGGTTAAACTCCTGCAGAAGTTTTGATTTAGGACTAACTTTGACTCCTGTGTTGTAGGTAGCATATTTCCCTCGGCCTGTGTATCCACAACATGTGTCGCAGCGCAGCTCTGATGATGAGGAGCATGGGGCACGAAGTCCCCTGGTGCTGGAGGTGTCTGATGAGGAATGTCTGAGAGATCGGGTCCCTTATGTCACTACAGGAGAGCTGGGTAAGGATAAAGATTTACAAAACATTTCACGCGTGCGGCATGGGAACTCTCAAGCCCTCTGCTGAGAAGTGAACACACGTTCTTTAAGGCAAACCGTGCTGGTTAGTGAGGATTCTCAATCATCCAGGTCATGGTCATAATCTGCGTTAGATTCTTCAGTCTTAAAAAAATAAAGTATTGTTTGCAGCAGGTCAGTGTCGTCTTCTGGTGGAGGTTTGGAAAAAGCCAAGTCAGCTTTGTTTTCTGCTGACAAGTTAAGAATCACTTTTAGGATGAGCTAATGGTTGCACAATAGCTTTTACATTGCTGGTTATGCATCTTTAGGACAAGTGGGCAAAAAAAAGTTATAAATGTTCTCGTTGTCCAAGGCTGGGCTAGGGGGGATTTCTTTTAAATCCTAGGTTACTTTATTTGCAATACACATTTTTTTCTTCTTTATTAACTTTGCATTGTATGGTTTCTTCGTCTGCATAAAAACCTTTATATTTCCTTAGCATTTCTTGGTGCAGTCTATTTTTCAGAATATGTTTAACAAATTATTTAGGGAAAACATGGATAATAAAAAAAAATTGTGTTGACATTTCAACGATTTAACACTGGATATAGAGATAGGATCGGAGGGATGAAACCCTCTTTAATGGTCACACATGCAGAGCACACAGCACACACAGTGACATTTGTTCTCTGCCTTTAACCCATCCTAACTAGTAGGAGCAGTGGGAGTGAGGGGGGAAGGGGGATGTCCGGTGCCTTGCTCAAGGGCACCACTGCAGGGCAGGAGGTGAACTGGGACCTCTCCAAGTAGCAGTCCACACTCCATATTTAGGTCTGGCCGGGGACTTGAACCAGCGACCCTACAGCTCACAGTCCAAGCCCCTACTGACTGAGCCACTGCCGGACCATATAGAGGATTATATGATACATGTTCATTATAGAAATGTTTTGAGAGAAAAACTAATTCCATGAGTCACATGAAATCGGGGGAAAACGCACCAGAAATACAGTGTCACCGCATCAGGTCATGGTGACTGATTCCAAGATTCAGAATAGAAAACTTAAATGACAGTATTTTCCATTGAATTTCAAATAAAAGCAGNGTATTAAATGTACATCCTAGCCCCACAATCATCCTCATTCATCTCCATCTTAAAATGTCTTTAATTGTAACATTACTCAATGTATTTTAATAGAACAAGCTGCCGTTCTCATTGCGCATGAGAAAAAATGTATTTTGAAACAAAACTCACCTGTATGGATATCTGCGTCGAGGACATTACCATAATCATATCAGAAGAACATTCTGGGAACCAAACTAAAACTTCCCGCTGAAAACGTTTTAAGAATAGTAGGGCATAATGTTCTAACAATGTTATCAACCACATGTTAAGAAGGTCATCAAAAACATTTCAAGAAGGTTATTACCAAGCATTTCAAGAATGTTTTTAAAGAACGTTATCCTACCTTTTAGAAGAACATTCTGGGAACCAAAATAAAACGTCCCGCTGAAAACATTCCTAGAACAACGAATGGTAATAAACATTTCTAGCTGGGAACTCACACATGCCACCGCAAACATGCAATATCTGCTTACAGCTTATCATGAATTACGTGCTTGTTTGTTTTTTTCAAAAGGAAAATGTGGTGACATCAGGTTTTTTTTAAAACGTCCTTTTCAAACAAATGCAACAAGTTTGTTACTTAAAGCGCTCTAGAAATAAATCTGACGTTGACCATGACCGTGTTAATATTTGCCATAACAGCAACGCTTTATAAAAAAAGAATAACATCCTGAAAACATTTTCAGAATGTTTCTTGGAGAATGTTCTTCAATTGTTATCATGTAACATTGAGGGAACGTTTTATAAAGAACATCTTTAATGTGTTACCCAACAACGCCCAAAACACATCCTTAGAATGTTGCAGGCAAAACGTTCCACCTTTGTTAACATATCACATTAAAGGAACATTTTATAAAAAACTTTCTGTCACCTCAGTCCTCAATAACATCCTGAAAACATTTTCAGAATGTTTCTTGGAGAATGTTCTTCATTTGTTATCATGTAACATTGAGGGAACATTTTATACAACCCTTTCTCTCATCTCAGGCCTCAATAACATCCTGAAAACAATTTCAGAATGTTGCTTTGAAAATGTTCTTCAATTGTTATCATGTAACATTGAGGGAACGTTTTATAAAGAACATCTTTAATGTGTTACCCAACAACGTCCAAAACACATCCTTAGAATGTTGCAGGCAAAACGTTCCACCTTTGTTAACATATCACATTAAAGGAACGTTTTATAAAAAAACTTTCTGTCATCTCAGGCCTCAATAACATCCTGAAAACATTTTCAGAATGTTGCTTTGAAAATGTTCTTCATTTGTTATCATGTAACATTGAGGGAACGTTTTATAAAGAACATCTTTAATGTGTTACCCAACAACGCCCAAAACACATCCTTAGAATGTTGCAGGCAAAACGTTCCACCTTTGTTAACATATCACATTAAAGGAACATTTTATAAAACACTTTCTGTCATCTCAGGCCTCAATAACATCCTGAAAACACTTTCAGAATGTTTCTTGGAGAATGTTCTTCATTTGTTATCATGTAACATTTTATACAACCATTCTCTCATCTCAGGCCTCAATAACATCCTGAAAACAATTTCAGAATGTTGCTTTGAAAATGTTCTTCATTTGTTATCATGTAACATTGAGGGAACGTTTTATAAAGAACATCTTTAATGTGATACCCAACAACTTCCAAAACACATCCTTAGAATGTTGCAGGCAGAACGTTCCACCTTTGTTAACATATCACATTAAAGGAACGTTTTATTTTTTAANTCCAAAACACATCCTTAGAATGTTGCAGGCAAAACGTTCCACCTTTGTTAACATATCACATTAAAGGAACATTTTATAAAAAAACTTTCTGTCATCTCAGGCCTTAATAACATCCTCAAAACATCCTCTGAATGTTGCAGTTAAAACGTTATGTCTTAGTTAACCTTAAACCTTATAGGAACATTATTTGAACAAATAAACATCCTAAAAAGGTTCTTTGAACATCAGATTAAAGCGTTTCTTTAAAACCTTGTTAGAACCAATAGGTAACGTTAGCCAAAGTTGTGAGAACATTCCCCGCTAGCTGGGCTGGCTCTCTACTTTCTCTTTTGGCCAGTTTAAGATATTACAGCAGAGCCTGAGTTGTTTCTGAAACGATTTCTCCAGGGCCTATAGCCGAATGGTTTTAAGGAAATGAACTCAGTTTTTAATCAAACACCTCAGTGAGCCCTCGCACTTATTTTACCCTGCCCACATCAAGTCAGCATTTAGCATTTTTGTTAAAGTAAGACCACTTTTGAACTGAACATGACCTTGCAAAATCCGTTTGCATTTTGGAATATGGCGAGATCAACAGAGAACACACAAATCAAAAAGTAAACATGGTTCTCCGACTGTGACGCCATCTGTATGGCTCAGGGCATCTCAGACATGCTCCAAACAACATGCATGGTCTTTACATGATCATGTATTTGCAAGTTATGCAATGGCAACCCAAAGGGGTCTTAAAGAACACCCTCCCCCCCAACTGCACACCACCAACATATGAAACAAGTAGTGGGGCAAGTCTTCAGATTCAGAGAACTGGTTACAAACCTTACTGTCAATGGGACTTGTGATAACTTGACTGTGGAGTTACTTTTCTGTAAAACTAAAATGTTTATGTTGTTATGAAGTGTCATTCATTTCTGTTTCCAAATTTGTCTTTGAAGTAAGAACTCAAAACGTTCAGTTTGATTACTTCTTCTTAATTTGTAGACAGACATTTATAAAGGGATATGAAAATCGTAATATTTAATAACCTTCATAATTTCATATGTCATCAACTACGGTTATCACGTAGCACCATGACAATGTGGACAATACTAAAATAAGGACTCATGTCGGATTGCATCTGATAGTATTCTTTAGAATTTCCTTTTGTTATCATTGTCTTGTCTTGTGAAGTTACCTTTTATTAAAGATAAATTGAGCTGTCTTTTTAGGATGACACAGTTTTTTTATTTTCTTATTTAGTCTAAAGTGTGTTTATACTTAATAACAGTGCAACTCTCTGATATTTTTGAACAGGCAATAAAAAGAAGATTCGTTTATACCAGTTCCTGTTGGATCTTTTAAGAGATGGCGATATGAAGGACAGTATCTGGTGGGTGGACAGAGACAAGGGGGCATTCCAGTTTTCTTCCAAACACAAGGAGGCTCTGGCACATCGCTGGGGGCTCCAGAAGGGAAACCGCAAAAAAATGACCTATCAGAAGATGGCCCGGGCCTTACGTAACTACGGCAAAACTGGAGAGGTGAAAAAGATCAAGAAGAAGCTGACCTACCAGTTCAGTGATGAGGTGCTGGGGAAGAGTCATCTGGAGAGAAAATTCTTGTAGGCAGGATGAGTACTCAAATGTCACGATTTACTCGTGGAAAATGTTGAGGAGTAGTTTCTGATGTAAGACATTTAATCAAACTTGCTAATGTGTTATTTTGCATTTTGTGAATAGTTACATTACTGGTCTACTGTGGGGCCAATCATTTTGTACAGACAAACGGGAAGAGATGTAAGGTTACACAGTATGCATATTAGACCCTGGGTTTACTGTGATACCCTGTATACATTTTTAAATGTGGGTGCACATACAAATCTTTGGAATTTCTTTAAGTAACTGTCTGTTTATACATTTTCAATACCTGGTTCCAAGTTGTGTTTTATGAAATGTAGCTATGAGGTCAGGAAGGCCTTCTGCCGCCTGGGTTTCACTCTCCCTGTTTTGGACAGGCTTAAGTTCTCTTTCAGGGTAATACTCTATGTACTACTCTATGTGTGTATATATAATTGCAAATTCATATTTAAAACAGTAAAGAGACACAAATAAGTCATTAATGGGATAGACTAACCTTTGAGGACCATTATAAAACCATTACTATGATTACTTATATGACAAATGTTTTGTAAAAATACATGAAACTCTGTATCTCATATTAAAAAAATGCTTGTAATGAATAAATGTTCATAAAAGTACAAGATAAAATATGCTAATGTCATTGAAGTTATTTGCAGTACAATGAAAGGAAGAGGGAACTCCCTGTTATTAAAACAATATAAAAGAAGGTCGCAAAGTGCTGAGCAAGGTGCAAATACCGAATGTGGGGTTAGTGTTTGTGAGCGATAACATCGCACACAAGGGGTAAAATACAAAGAAGAAGAGGAAGTAAACATTTCATAAACTTCTGAAGTTATAGGTTTACAATTAGCTCACATTTCATTTAGGCTACAAAGATAACTGCTGAGTATGAGGAACTATGAGGTGAATGCAGAGCGGGGCGGGGGGGTGAAGTGGCCTGTCACCCAGTCCTTATATCTGCCTGTGATCCTGACACTCTGCAGGCGCCAGCACTCCACTCATTAAGGCAAAGCCCAGAGAGACACATCTGGAGTTAATAGGTTAATAGTCTATACAAGTACTGCAGCTGCTCCTCTGGTGGTTTTCCTCTGCATCGAATGCCTTTTCTTGAGTGGCTTAATTGTGTTAAAACATTCTGTATATTGTTTTGGCGTTGGTATCATAGTTAGTGTTTCATTAACCGTTGTCCTAGACAAAGCAGTCTTTACAAAATATAGAGATGCTTTTGAAATGCTTATCAATGCCTCTACTATCACACTTCCCTTTTACAATAACACATCTAAAAATCACTTCTGCAGATGAAATTCAGTTCAATACAATTACAGAAAATAAAAGTGAATCTAAATATGAAAAAACTACAGCACATGGTGTCCCTAGAGCCAACAGCTCCCCTCAATGGCGGAGTTATAATTGATGCCCAGAGCTGACAGGTGAGAAGATGAAAATAAATGGCCTTGAATAGAAATGAGCCACCATACAGTACAATACTATACAATACAATACAGAGTAACTTCACCAGAGCAAGATAATCAATATGACTTTTACATTACTTACATGTAAGTGTGTTGGAAACCTTATCAGAAAAGAACGTAAAAGGACAAACTCATTTACAGATGTAAGTGTCATTGACCACATCAACAACAAGGCTCAGCGGTAAACCAACAAAGGCAACACATGTGGCTCTCAGATAAATTCAGAATACAGCACTTGTCATTGCTGTGGTCAGAGTGGACGAGCTGCAGGCGGCAGTTAGTACAGTGCATGTTTCCAGATTAAGATCTCAGCAAGAACAGTTAAGGTTGAGATTAGGGCTGCTACACCCCAACACTTGTGAGAGGATGGAGATCCTCTTCCTCTCATCGTCTCTTGCTTTTTTTGTAACAGTCAAAAATGTATATTTAAGATATATTTTTGGAAGATATTATTGAGTGTAGATATACAGTAGTATGTTTTGCTGCTATAGTTAAATAAGACTAGTCTAGTATAGTAAAGTAAACATACAGTAAGTAGAATATAGTAGATTACAGTAAACCATAGTATAAGAAAGTAAAATATTGCATAGGATAGTCGATTAACGTAACAGAGCATGGTGCAGTAGAGTACATTACAGTACATGTCACTTGTTAGACGCTTTTATCCAAAGCGACTAACATACATTCCCATAGGAACAATTTGGGGTGTGTCTTGTCCAAGGACACAGTGGAATGTTGACTGCAGCGAGATTCAAACCAGTGCCCCCGTGATCCGAAGATCAGCGCACTAACCACTGAGCCAAAACCCACAGTAAACTGAGTAAACTGTAGTATAGTTCAACAGCACAGTACAATATACAGTATAGCACAGTAGTGATGTGAAGTGATCTATAGTAAAGTATTGTATTTAATATAGTATATTATAGTGTACATTATATATATTATAATATATATAGTATGGTATACTATACTAGGTATAGTATTGTAAATCATAGCACAAACAGTTGAGGTAAACATAGCATAGTTGAGTTTACTGTTCTGTAGCAAGCTACAGTAAATGATATGGTGACATAGTACAGTATGATTATAATACTGAGATACACAGCATAGTATAGTACTGTGCAGTAAAGCAAGTATAATGATAATAATAATAATAATAATAATAATAATAATATAGTCTAGTATAGTATAATATTGTAAAATATAGTATGTACCACAAAAAAAAGTTCTAGTTTAGTTTTGCGTTCCTGGCAGCTTTAACACTTTTTAAATCGATAAAAATGATAAGTCAGACTTGCCTGTATAGGGAAAGGTAAAAATGTAAAGAAATACTTCTAAGGAAACCGAAATAAACCTAAACTCTGCTAAAGGATTAGAAGGACTCTTTAAAGGGAAACACACTCATCTCTGCCCACAGATAACACACACCTATAGATTTGTATTCTCCACCATCCTCTCGTATACCTTTAGATTTACAGGGTGACCGGGTGCAGCACAGATGTGGGGAAAGCAAAGAGACTTTTTTTGGAATCAGGGCTCTAAATTTAACTTGCATCCCTCCCCCTCCCTCTCAAGGCCTATCATTCAGCCGAGGTGTTGGAGGAAAGGATGGTTGAAATATAGCCTGGGTCAGGCGTAAGCAGGGGTGGGCTGGGGAGAATGTGGGGGTGGTTGTTGTGTTTTGGGACATTGCGTTGGGCCTAGGAAAAAGAATGGCAGGAGAGGTGGGATGGTTCATGGAAGCGGGGGGGGGATTTGGCAGCAGCACAGTATTAAAGGCACGGGGTCCAGATAGACGGCAGACTGTAGCAACAGTGAGTCACACTGTAGAGGACAGAGAGCATTCAGGATGCCAGAGCCAGTCAAAAAAACAGGTAAGTGTATTCATTCAGATACAGGGAAAGGTTTCTTTAACACCTTAAAATGTAACGGCTTATAATAATACATGTACAAAACGTACAAAACGGTTCAATATGTAGTCGTATAGTTTACATACTTTATGTACAATTCTCAAAAGCACAATCTTCTTCTAAGAAACTAACAATGTGAAATTACAAAATGATGTGTGAGAAAACATACCGTGCTGGAACACACCCCTCTCTTAAGCAACTGTAAACCACAACCAAGCTGAGGCTCATGTGAGACCTGCACGTTGTTCTCATGATATTAAGTATTCTCTTTGTTTGCCAAGTAATGTGATTGCAAAATGTCATTATTATGTTTTTGTTATTTGTGAAACCGAATTGTTCTTTTTATTAAGGTACTGTTTTGGTTATTTTTGTCACTATCGAAATCTATTTTTTGCCATCTGCCAGGTTATTTTAAATGTATGCCACAATCATTTTATTATTTATTATGTTTCCAGACAAAAACATCTCTAAAGCAGAGAAATGAAATACCAAAATAAATATTTAAAACAGGAAAATTGTAGTTGCAGTAGAGGTAGGAATATAAAAGAATAGGAATATTAATTATAAATTAAAACAGAAATGATACTGAACAAGTAAAAATCCTCCATGTCATAACAAAGCAGTAGATCAGTAAAGTAACTGTCAAATATATCACATTTAAAGTGGCCTAGTACAAATGCTCCTGTAGCCACAACATAATACGTGCAATAATCCATCCTTAGTTAAAAGTGTTTTCTCTAAGCCTCTGTTGGTCGTGTCAGGGAACTTGGGAACACAACACTCGATCCAGGTGGAAACATTCCAGCATCATTCACAAAATGCACAACTGATCCAAAAATGCTCTGCAGGATTCCAACTTGACAAACGTGTCTGTGTGTTCCCCCCCCCTCTCTTCGGGGGGAATGGATGGATGTTTGTGGAGTTGGAGGCACGACATCACATATCAAATGACACATTGCATCCCAAATGGCAAGCAAGTGTGTGCTAAGACTTTTAGTGTAGTGTATTTATTAAGCTATGATCATCTTGCCACCACGGAATTAATATCAATTATTATTAACTCTCTACAGTAAACAGGATGCTTTTGATTGTTTTGAAGTATTGCTATAAGCGTGGTTTGCTCCGTCAAATGTTCAGTTAAAAAAAGAGTTAAAGCCCCCATGACCAATATGTGAAGGGGCTAGTAGTGATGAACCTGCGGAGAATTATCACCTGAATCTGCAGCTTTTCTCAGCTCAGTGAGATCAAGCTCACTGTTTAGCTTCCTGACCCACAACTCTACTGTTTCCATACACTCTCACCGCTCACATGGTATCGTTTTTTATTAAAAAGCCATAAAACCAGATATTTTCTTTAGGAGACAGAGCTATAGAGAGGTAACATACTGACATTTATTTGTTGGCTACGAACATCACTATAAATTAATGCTTTTGTTGCTCTATAACTTTTGGATTTAAAGAGGATGAAGGTTTGCTAACAAGTTTAACATCAACTTAAGGTGATGATTTGTCAGTGTCGTGTTCAAAGATTTGTTCTGCTGTCCTAAAATGTTCAATAAAATTAGTTTGAAGTTTTTGGACACATTTTAGGTTAGGCCTACTTATATACAGTACAATTAAACTAACTTAAGTGAAGCACGTATGAACAATCATTTTTAGATGACATTTGTAAATAATACAATGAAATAGTATTTGACTTTTTGAAAAAAACAAATATGTATTATATTCTTCAGAACTACGAAAAGTCACGAGAAGGTCAGACTTTGATTTACTGCTGAAGGTATTTTGGGCCAGAGTCATCTCTACATTATTAATATCAGCTTTAACCTTTTTAGATACCAACTTAAATGTTGTAAAAAGTAACTTGGGGTTATAAATCAAGGAAGGAGTCTGTTGCTTTCTGTATAGCTTGTCAACAGCCTCATGTACTTAGACAAACAAAGATAAACTGATCAACAGTCTCTAAATAACAATATGTCCTGTCTGCAATGCTTATTTATGGCTACTCTGAACTATGTCAACACTATGTGTTATATTGTTACTATTTAATTTCTAACCTTTCTGAACGAAGTAGTTGAACTATTTAAACATTTCCTTGGATACGTCCGTCTTTTAACTTAAACTAGGAGTGTCTTTTTACTTTAAATGTGATAAAGGTGTGATATGTGGGGCAGCGTGACTGACACCATGTTGAGGTGTCGTAACAGCAGAGACGCTGGCTGCAGACAGACCGAGGGCACATTATTCATTCTGTGCCTCCAGAGTCACAAAAATAGAGTCCAGTTAATCCCTCGACTCTGATACCTGCGCCCCCGCTGCCACTGAAGCCCTCCAACGTCATGTTTTTAGTCCTGTACATAGGCATCCTATATATACACCCATAAGGTCATCTTGCAACACATGGAGGTTTTTTTTTTTTTCCTGTACGTTGAACTATTCAGGACTCAAACCAGGAGTCCAAGCATCTGAATCACGCCCACATGCATTTCATTATTCCAAACAACTGGTGTTACACATGTCTACACTCAGGGCTGCCAGTCACTATCACTATTTTTATGTTTGTATTAGATTTCTCTTCACATTTGATAGCTTTTCCAAAGATAACAACACATCTCTTCACAGCAGCAAAGGCAACAGCTGGTGGTACACACAATGAGTGTAAAACTATCACTATTAATAGACTGACTGTAGACATCATGTATTCATTTCTTTAGGATCACGATCCATGACTGTGATATGTTTCAAGGGTTTGGTTATTGCGTGATTGTTACAGATCCAGATGTGTCTCTGTTGGCCTTTTTAATTTCACCCGACGTCCCATCAAAACAAGCTTACGTTTTGATTGATTGCTTATTAATGAAAAACAATGTTCTGTGTGTTATGTCGGTTATGTCATGACGAAGGATATACATTCAGTTCTGTACTTAAGTACATATTTTGTACTTCTGCTTTATTTTTTTACGTGTAAAAACAAGTTTTAGTTCATTATTCTTTTCCAGCCTCGGAAGTTACTTTGCAAATAAATGTTTAACATGTATATACAGTAAAATGTAATATCAGTGTATATGGTGTGATGCATAATTATTATTATTATGAAATATATAATGTAATTAATAATATAAATGAAATATATTATTATTAATGTAATGTGAGTAAACTACAACTTTTACATTGCATACATTACTTACAATTAGTTCAACATTGGCAAAAGATACACCATTTAAATGCAGCTGTTATGTTTTTTCATCGCTAATTAAATAATTTAACAATACAGTCTGAAATTGTAATTCTGCATAATGACTTATTTCCCTTTAGATACTGAGGTATATCTGCAGTAGCTGATAATACCTCTCATAAATGCAGGCCGTTTGACTTTATGTGGTAGTGATACTTTTGCTTAAATAACAGTGGTTAATGGTCAACTTCTGTTTTCAGACAGTGCAGTAGCCTTAATAACCATGCCAATGATATAACAGAATATGACTGCACAAATAAGACTCAAGAAGTTGCTGCTGTTTTGACACATTCTGTGTGGTGTGGAAAAAGGCAAATTCATTGTTTTTCAACTAGCCCCACCCAGTGTGCTGCAGACAGTATAACACTGTACTTTTTTTGATGAAGAGCCTTCTTCTTTTGCTGAAACAACGTTACAGTACATGTGCTGCTCTTCAAGCTTGACATTGGTTTTAAAATGGAATAACACAAAATAATATATCATTATCAGTATTTATTTTTTTGAAAGATGCAAATAATAAGCCTACTGGTACCCGTTACTTGTTTTTCTCACATAAGTATTATCAAATGTCCTCTCAGCAGGAATTATAACATGTGTGTTTTCTCCTCAAGATTTGACCCCTTAAAAGATAACTGTTAAACAAAGTCTAATTGAAACTTCAGAAGACTTACTTTTAATTTGAACCCACCCCCCCTCTTCAGTTTCAGCATTTGCCAAGAAACCAAAGACTCAGGAGGCAGAGGAGGGGTCCTCTGTGCTCTTTGAAGCAGAGACAGAGAAGCCTGATGCTAAAGTAAAATGGCAGTGCAACTCAAAGGACATTGCCACTGGCGCCAAATATGTGATGACAGCCGCCGGAAACAAGCATTCCCTCTCTATAAAAGCCATTACCAAGGAAGATGCCAATGTGTATGCAGTGATTGCTGGGGGGTCAAAGGTCAAGTTTGACCTGAAGGTCGTATCTAAGCCAGGTGGGAGACTTTCATGCTGCAGTTGTGCGTTTTGAGGTCTCTGCTTGTTCCACTACAGGCTGTGTTGTCCCCAGGCACAAAGCTAAAATATAGCACTTAATGCAGGAAAGCACTGAGGCAGTAAAAACTTGATGCACTGCATGCAATTGAACTCACATTCTGCTCACTCTGACAGCTGCTCCACAACAAGTCCCTGAGACGGCTTTGTGTTGTCTATCCACGGGGAAAGTTGCTCTTGAAGGAATAGTTTGACATTCAGGGGGAAAAGCTTCTTAGCTTTTTTGCAGGGATGAAATGGAACTAACTCTTCAATCGGGTGATGGGGACGCTCCAGCTGTGATGCCAAATCCAACCTCTTCCAATTCCCCTACAAATCTGTATGTTCGGTAAAAGTCATTTAGTATCCTATATGCCATACATAGTTAAGCATAAAGACCTAAAGGTATGAAAACAGTAAGCCTGTCCTTGTACAAAGCGATCCAATCCACCTACCGCCGACTCTAAAGGTCACTATGAAACACGTTTTATCTCGAAGTTTTCACTTTCTCAGAATTAATGTCGACTCCAGAAAGTCCCTACAGTCCCACATACAACCCGTAGATGTAATAATGGATCAGCATCCAACTGAACCTCCCTGCAAATTTACCTTAGATGCCACACAAGGTGCTTCAATTGAAATAAATCATCCCAAATAGCATTCTCCCCATTATAGCCATCGCCTTTACATAATTACATTAAAGTGTTGAACGGACACCACCAAATGCAAACAAAGTATTTTCCCTTTGTATTATAAATGTTAGAAATGCATTTTTACGTGCATGGCTTCATCCCAATGTGAAGACTATGGGGCCACTAAGAGAAACACGAATGTGCAGGCATATCTTTCTAGTTTTTATACTAAACTTACATTAAATGACATAAGACAATATGTTTAATTCCCTTTTGGACAGAGCTAGGCTAGCTGTTTTCCCCTGCTTCCAGTCTTTATGCTACACAAAGCTAATTGTCCCCTGGTCGCTTCATGTTTATCATACAGACATTAGATCATCTAAGATGTCAAACTATTCCTTTAGGATCTGGATAACTGCAATCACTGCATTAATCACAATCGTTTTGCCCAGCACTTTATCACAACTATAGAGCACTGTTCTGTATGCTGCAACAACTGTGTGCAAAGTGTGTCATGGAGCAGCTTTTGTGCCATGAGTCTGTCAGTGTGACTGTTTGTTTGGACTTGATAAGGTGGAAACAAATCCTGAAGAAAGGCAGCAGACAAATGGCCCAGCGTGCTACGAGAGACGTCCCACAGCTGTCTGTGGCTCATATCATAGGCACCCTTACTCTGTCTGCACAGAGACCTTGACTCTCACACCAGCACATTATTTCCTCATGAGTAACCACCACTTGACTTGCGCTCAGGATAGCCATGAGAGGCAGCTGATAACACATGGAAAATCATTCAGCCATTCAAAGATGATAAGACGGAAGAAATGTTTGTGTGGAAAATATTTGTCTTGGCCAAAGTCTTTTCAGTCTTACAAAAAAGTGTTTAAGAGAAAATCGGAGATATAACATTGTAAAATATTTAAATATCAACATGTAAAGTCCCCAGCTCAAAGTTTTAATAAAAAATAAATAAAAATTGAATTAATTGTTTTGTATTACTCCACCTACTTGTTACTTATTATCTTCGTTGTTTCATAGGAGGTCCCGTTCAGGCCCCTGCTGATGCTCCTGGGAAGTCTGATGTAGAACCAGAAAAGGCCCCTGCTGATCCTGGACCTGCTCCACCTTCTGATCCTGCTCCACCCACTGATCCTGCTCCACCTGCAGCAGCACCAACAGGAGAGCAGCCCGTGGTCCCAGCACAAGATGCTCCTCCAGCTGAGGGTCAGTATACTCAGTGTTGCTTTTGTTCATAAACGAATGAATGAATCTATCTGTTTAAACATATTTTAGTAAAACTTTTCTGAAAATGGCCCAAAAAATCACAGACTGTTTGATATGCCACAGAGATTAAGATTTAAACACAAGGCATGAATTAAGCTTTCATCAAATGTTGACACCTATACACTCCATACCATATGTTTGCTTGGTTTCTTCTTTGATTTCTCTCACATCTTTCTGTGTAAGATGTGTCATGCACCAAATTGATTACCTTTTTAAAATATAAAAAAATAACCCAATTACAAAGGGAAGCTCTGCATATATCCTCCCCCTTTATACACTTTATATTCTTATTTTGTTTTGCTGCTCTGATGTTCATTTGAATTACATTTGGTTGGACTTGAATCTCTTAACTCCATTCTGCTGCTTCCTGCTCTGAACCTGTTGGATTTTCAGATGCACAGCCTCCAGACACCAGGCAGGACCTGACTGGACTCTTTACAGAGAAACCCACCAGTGGGAACGTCACTGTAGGTGAGTGGTTTCAAAGACAGCCCCATATGACCCTAAAATATGTGTCAATAAAACCTTACAGGAAGATAAAAACATGAGGTTGGTGTTATATTTTGTGGAAATATGAAGTGTTAATGCTTGTATTATTATGTATTTTTGGTTCAATGCATATTGCATGAATTCCGTATTGCATTGGACATCAGAATTTTAAGGATAAAGTGTTAAAACAAATGAAAATTCCTCTTTGGTGCAGGTGAAAACATCACATTTGTGGCTAAAGTCTGTGCTGAGTCGTTGTTGAAGAAACCCACCATCAAATGGTTCAAAGGGAAGTGGATGGACCTCGCCAGCAAGTCTGGAAAACACCTTCAGCTGAAGGAGACGTATGACCGCAACACCAAGGTAGACTCATACTGCAGGCACTGAAACAGAAACGTCTTATTCTTATGTCTTGTGGCACATAATGTTAATATGTGGATCTTATTGCTGTGCCTAAAGAGCCTTTGATCGATTGCCTTTGATATGTATTTTGGCATTAAATCTGTTAACAAATTGCAATAGGCAACAATTAGCTTTTTTTAGTTTTGAAAGTCTCAGTGCTGAGCCTTGCAAGCTCTTGCCGCAGTCACTGATCCTGATAGCATTATGAACCACAGGCACACAGAGGTCATTTTATGAAGAGACTACAAGACATGTTACCCCTGAAAATGTCAAAACAAGTGGGAGAAACACACTTTTACAAGAAAAGTGAGCAGGGAAAGTCTGTGGAACACTTAATAAAGATCACAAATCTCAAACAGACTTATCATTTTATACATATGAAGCATATGTACAGTACAGAAGCATATGTTTCAAAGCAAAGACGTCAGCCTAAGTGTGTCATGTAATCCTTGTTGCATCTCTCCGCATGCTTGTGGTTGCAGGTATACACGTTTGAAATGCAAATCATCGCAGCGAAGGCAAACTTTACTGGAGCGTACAGATGTGAGGTGGCTTCCAGGGACAAGTTTGACAGCTGTAACTTTGACCTGGCTGTACATGGTGAGTGGGCCTGTTGCTTCTTTGTTTGTAGCATCAGTAATATTGTCACTTATATCTTAATTTAAGTAATTAATATGATTCTATCTTTTCACTTTGACATTTCAGAGGCTTGTGCAACTGAAGGTTTCGATATTCGAACAGCCTTTAGGCGCACGTAAGTTTCATAAGACTTTATTTCTTTGCATGAAACACAAAATACCTTTGTTCACATTAAAAGGTATTATAGGCTTATTGATTACCAATTTTCTTTTGTATATTAGTTTCTCTAAGCGTGTGACTGCTTGTCCCAGGACACAATTCATCAATCATGAAACACAGCAAAAGTCAACCTTTTCTTTTACTTTTCCTTACAGGACTTAAGCACACCCCTTTAACTTTAAGAGTGAAATACTTGATAAACTTGCAGCTTTTAGGGATTATTAAGCTATTAAAGTTCAAATTCAAAAGCCATTTTAGTTCTAAAAAGACATATTGTTAATAACGTCTAAACATATTTTACTTGCTTATGGTTGATAGGTAATTTTATTTGGAGAAAAACTGTTATTAGTTATATGTTTTCAGACTCAATTGAGGATTTTGTGTTCATTTTACCATGTTTGTGTAACGAATCATTGTGGAAATGCTAACCTATTAGGAGCGAAGCCAGTAAGAAGAGAAGTGGACAACAATCAAGGTAGTAAAGAGGGTTTGTCGCAGCAATGGAGGCTTATTCAGACCCTGAAAATTCTGGTTGTTAAAACACAGAGAAACCAGGACCAGGATCAGAGCCGTTCTCTCCTGGCCTGTTTCCTCTCTGAATCACGTCCAACAGAACCAGCGTTGTGGATGGTCAAGCCTCGCTGCTGGGTTTTGAGGGAAGGACCACAGGACGGAGACCATGAGAGAGCTGACAGGTGTCAAATTATAGCTCCTGGCTGTAGTCACTAACTATAGTAGCTGTCATTGTGTTAACCTTTGACTCAGCCGATCTCTATGCGTTAAGATTTGGTTATTAAACTATTAAGTAACATGCGCTGGTTGCAGCCATCAGTTCTCTCTGATCTACTCCTGAGCCTTGATCAAAACAGCAGGGCCAGCTGCACAAACAGCTCTCCGGGAGAGTGAGCTTTGACGGTGGTTTGATCGTACTGAAAGGGCAGGATGTGCTAAGACACACAGGCTTTTCAGTAAATGAGCTCTTCCACAGGGTTGCCACTTGCCACATAGAGGATGTGCAGCTATGGTGTGTTGTAACTTCACCGCATAAACCAGAGACTCAGCTTCTAATCCTCGTGTAGGATCAGAGGCAAGAGACAAGCACACTGTCAAGTCTACACCCTTTCTTTATCTTTCATCCCACTGATTTAACCTTGAGTGTTTTCTATTGTTCTTGCTCGGATGGCTGCTGCTGCTCATGGCCTGAGGAAACAATTTCGCATTTTGGGAAATATGCTTATTCACTGTTATTCTGGGATTGACAGTAGATGAGATTAAATCCATTTCATATGACCGTGTTTAGTTTGAGGGCAGAGCCAGGAGGCGATAACCTGGAGGCAGCGGTTAAATCAAATCAAATCAAATCAAGTTTTATTTATAAAGCACATTTAAAAGCGATTTTTGGTCGAGCCAAAGTGCTGTACAACACATAGCTTGGCTAGCTAGTGGACAGTAGATACAACTAGGCTACTATATACCCAGTTTGATTCCTGCGGGGTCCGCTGTTGCATTTCTTTCTTTATTATTTTATTCTTAAAAAGGAAAGACAGGTATTTATGGGATGAATCAGAAATGGTTCACCCTGCTTCTAGTCTTTATGCTAAACTTATCAACGCTCAGCTCTGGTTGCAGTTAAAACCCCCATTACAGTGGTATTAATAAACAATTGTATTTCCCAAAGTACCAAAGTGTTTCTTTGAACATAGCAACAACTGTCTCTCCAGCACACCATCTGCCTGTACATTCACTTCCTTCATCCATAATTTCACTCTTTTCCTTTCAGTCTTCAGAATGAATCCAAATTCTCTTTTTTGATTACTTGATTTTAGGTTTTGTATAACACAGTGCCATTCAGTCTAAAGAGATATCTGAATGGTGCTGTACTTTACAAATACTTGCATATTTGAGCATGAGTAAACAGGAAATTATTCATATTTTATCAAGGCCTAAAAATATATATACCTTTATTTAACACTGATGTTGTTGCCCACTGTTGATGATGTTCTGCTGCTGTTGGCTGATGTTTCTGCAGTGGCGCAGATGGAAAAGAGGACTCAGGAGAACTGGATTTCAGTACCTTATTAAAAAAGAGGTAAGCACAACATATGACAGTTAATTTAAAACTTTTTAGATAACGGCTCCATTTTCCTCCAGTTTTCATAATCCATTTCTGTCTCATTGTCATTCTTTCTGGATCATCCTGCGTCTTCAGAGAGTAAGCTACTTCTGTATTTGCAAGCTAAGAGTTGCAATGATCACCTGATTACACTTACCTGCAGGCAAATAACCCAACGCAACGATATGTTAGGGTGATTGTCTCAGAATGTAACTTGACCATGAATTTGGCATAGTTTTAAGTTTGAAAACGTTTTTTCACATTTTAAATATCGATGCCAGTGAAAATAAGACATACTGCCATGTTAAAACATGCAACCTTTTCCAAATTCCCATAAAAAAGAAACTAGTCACCCTATCATATCTAACTTTTATTATAACACTAATTTCATCCTCAATTCATCCTGTGATCACTAATATTGCCTCCTCGCTGCCACCCTCTCTTACCACAATAACTATAACTAAACAAACATTTTAACTTTCAATCTGGCAAAATCAGCTATTCTGCCCCCTTGTTGTGGATGGTTGTCCCACTATGGTATGCAAACCTTATAGTCTGCATTCGGAAACACAAGTCACCTTCGTTGTGAAGGTGACTTGTGTTTCCGAATCACAAATCACCTCTGTGCATCACACTCCATCACCAGATACTTTCTATCCCCTATTGGACATCATGTAAAGAATAATGCTATTTTGCCCTAATGTCTGCATGCTTGCTTTTATTTAATTTGTTTTAATGGCATATTTTCTAATAGTTGTGTTGCTGTTTAAATGCTTTGTTTAACTTGTTTGGTTTGTTTTGCCTCTTGGGTTCTACCTTTGAATGAGCAGCAGTTTCTTAAAATCCTCAAATCGGTAAGAAGCTGCTGACATACTGACTGAGTGTCGCTGGAAAACGTTGTTTTCGCATGCATTCATCTGTCGGGATTCAGTCCTTTCAAGTTGCATGCATTCATTTACTACAGGAGAAAACAGTTTACATTTCACTGTATTATTACATTATAACAGCTAAAGATGAAGCAATTATTTGATGATTAAACAATAGAAATATAATGGAAGACATGTATTTATTGGTTACAGTATGCTGTACCCTTATGATTAAATAGTGTACATACATTGTTTTGAACAGCTAGTTAAACAATGGTTATTATTTGTGATATAGTGTGCACCAAGGAACTCACAATAGTACTAAACAGCATTTTACTCACTTGGTTAGCCAGGATTCTTTTTTAGCAACAATGTAACAACACAGCTTCACAAGCAGGAAGGGAGCATCTCAGATGATTGGCTGAGGCCACCTAGTGGACAGGTGTGGTATAAAACATAACATAGATAGATGGAGTAGGAGTAGGAGGGACTAACTTGTGTTCCTTGTGCTTGCACTTTTTCTGTCCATATTTCAGACTAACTGGGATTAGACTCTACTTAATAAATAAGGATTAACAAACACATTTACATTACATGTTTATTTGTTAAGGAACTTCATTGCCACATTAGAAATAACATAAAATCATACCACTTCTTTTGTCGTGCAATAAAGTATAATTTTTCATAGAAAACCCTTATTAACATCTTTATTCCCCCATTGTTACGTTAAACAATGAAGCTTAATAAGACATTAATAGTTAACCATGAATTCAAATTGAATTAAATCAATTTATATTGAGTAAGAGAATAGAAATATGTCAATGAGCCATTATGTCGATGTTACTGCACCTCTTTTAAAGCCTACTCATTCTATTCTATATTCATAGTATACATTTTTTCCATCTGTGCCAAGTGACTGATTTTAAAGTCCTCTTCTGTATGCTTTACGTGTTTCAGAGCCGTGCAGGTGAACGCAGAGCCGGACTCAGACGTCTGGAATATTCTCTGCAGTGCTCCTTCTTCAGAGTATGAGAAGATAGCTTTTGAGAATGGCATTACCGACCTGAGAGGGATGCTCAAGAGACTGAAGAAGATGAAGAAGAAAGAGGAGAAGAAAAGTGCAGGTTTGTCCAGAGTTGTTCCTTATAGGCTGCACAATCAACAGTAAAGTATTGACCCAAGTAACAGGTTTTTGCATTTCCTCATTCCCTCTGAAACTTAGCTTTCACCAAAAAGTTGGATCCTGCTTACCAAGTGAAAAAGGGACATAAAATAAAACTGGCCATTGAGGTTGCCAATCCAGATGTTGAGGTGAAATGGCTGAAGAATGGAGTAGACCTTCTTCCAACTGGAAGGTTAGATATTGATGATGGAAACTATTCCCCTTAACTCATTGCAAAATGCACAAATAACAAATACAGGAGCACTGTTTGATGATGTTTATTTATGTTCTCTTTTCTCTCCTACGTCTCGGCTTGGATTAACATCAACTTTCATTATATCCATAGCAAGTAAGTGTCGAATATCATAATAGTTCAAGCTCTTTTACGGCCCTGGGAAAAAGTATTTACTATGAAAACATCTCCCTGGCCTTTGTTAAGGTACATCTTTGAGAGTGTTGGCAACATGCGCTACCTCACCATCAACCACTGCTCGTTGGCAGACGATGCAGCATATAGCTGCGTGGTGGGGGAGGAGAAATGCACCACTGAGCTCTTTGTTCAAGGTATTGAAAGTTTAGAGAAATAACAAATCCCGATAATATCATGTTTGAGGGATGCAGTTCAATGTCTTGTGCTTATCTGCTTTCTGCAGAGCCTCCCGTCACGATCGTGAAGAATCTGGAGGATCAGATGGTGATGAATGGTGAACGGGTGGAGTTAATGTGTGAAGTCTCAGAGGAAGGAGCCAATGTGAGATGGTTAGATATTTTTCTTTACACTTACAAATCAACAGTCTGTTTGGAGGTACATGTTCACACCATTAGATAATTAATCTTGAAGCTAAATCTGGTGTTACTGACATACTAAAATATGAAGTCAGTGAGCCATGACTGGATTGAAAAAAGTAGAATCAAACTTTATTTAAATTCAAAGCAAATGTTCAGTCAGCCTTACACACTGTTTATTTCTTAGACACCCAGCAGATGGCATTTGTGTTTGTCATGTCCACAGACAGAGCTCTGTCTCTGTGACAGACTGCAGGCTGTAAATTATCGCCGCACTGAAAAGGTCACATGAGCATTTTAGTACTATATGTCCCATGTGACCTTTATCTAAAGGAGAAAGTAGCTGCAAATGCTTAAGGGGCTCTGGTTTGAGTGCCAAATAATAAACATACTATTTATAATAATAAAATTGAAATGTTAAAGGTGAAAAAGGCATACATTTATCATTGCGGAAAGTGTCATCTTGTATTGACAAAGCATCTATGCACAGTGTCAACATGTAATGTGCTCATAATCCTTACAAAGCACTTCTGATTATTATTATTATTATTACAATGATGTTTCTAGTCTCTGCAAATATGTTAAGATATGATGTTGGCTACATGTCATGTTTATTGGGTTGATAGGCTTCTAAGCTTTCACCCAAACATAACTTCAATGTGAAAATTGTTTTAGTTGTCATCACTTCACCTAACAGCGGGGTTCCTGTCTCATAAAAGTAGTCATCTACTGTATGGCGGGATATCATAACAACATGAGATGTGGGTGAAAGCTTTAAAGTAAAAGTATTGACCTGCTTTTTAAAGACCTGACCAAAAGTTATATTAGGGAACTTTCATTACGCGTATAAGGAACACTACTCATGGTTGCTGTGTGACATTTTGTGCAGGGAGAAGGACGGTGTGGAATTGACAAGAGACGAGTCTTTCAAGTACCGGTTCAAGAAAGACGGCTGCAAACATGTCCTTATCATTAATGAGGCCATGAAAGAAGACTGCGGACACTACAAGGTTAAAACCAACGGTGGCGAGTCTATGGCTGAAATACTGGTGCAGGGTGAGTGTCATGTGTGCAGAGTACAGTATAAGACACGTTTGTCAGTGATGAACGCTCCAATTTTACATTCTCATACAATAGTGACGTGAGTTTGCCTCTTCTGGCATGCTGTCTATCTTGGGACACATTGGCTCTTGGCCACATTATTCTGCCAAGGTTACTGCAGCCACGTCAATCCACATGCCAGCTAAAGTTAGAAGAAGTAGACCACATTTCACCTGAAGGGCACAGGTGACCAAGTTTCTCTTTCTGGTGTGTTGTTGTGTTTATTTAATTCAACACAGCTTCATTCAAAAGCTGCATTATCACCATCGAAAGTCAAACCAAACTCTTGTTTTGTCTACACTGTCATGATGCTCAGTGAACCGTTGCAGCAACCTTATCTTTAATTTACTGCAACAGTCTTCAATTTCTTAAGGGAAATGTCCCACAAGTATGAACAATTAAAGTCTTTATTTTATATAAAGACATGAGGTTTTATTATTAAATGATAGATTATCTTATCGAACTAAGTAAAGGATCTGCACTGGGCCCCTCACACTTTTTGGAGTGTGATTCTTTGATGGTACCCTGACTCTTATTTTTTATTTTTACAATAATGTGAAGTTGTTAATGAATTAAAGACGCGGCATGGTTTTCAGTTGTTTATGTTGGATAAATATGCTTAATTTCAATTCACAGGTGATCTAAAAATGGTGGATGGGGACGGTTCAAACTCATCCGTACATGGACGTAGGCAAAATAAAACCCCAGCTAGTTTTACCCTCTTTTTTACCATTCAGTAACCATTTCATCTTAGTTCCATGATCCCATAGAGCAAAGGTTTTCATTATGAATAAATGGGAAATCATCACATGACAGCCATCTTGACCTTTCCTTGTAGACGCTATAATTTAGTCCTGGTTATTTATTGAATATATATACTCTTACTTTTGAATATATATTCATGTGTATGTGTGATATGTGTGTGTGTGCGTGTGTGTCCAACACCTCAGTCCACAGCTGAACTCCCATTGTAGTACCATTCCCACCTTATGTGCCATCACTGGCAGCGAGCTGATGTGAAACTCCTGTAACCTTTACAAGGAGCGTGGTGTGAGTTATCTCTCTCAGATAAAAATGTATCTGGGGTCTCTTTAATAACTCCTGTATACATTATTTCTTAAGATATACAGTATTGAGCTGCTCCTGCATCTGGTCTTCATATCCTCCCACTTTATTGTCTACCCTAAATCCAATTAACTATTCCCCTTGTGCCTGTTGCTAAGATACAACGCAAAAAGGCTACACAAAGATAATGAACACCCACCACTCGATCATATTATTACTAAATTATCCTCACATACAATAGCTGCATCTGATTTTGTATCTCATTATAATCACACGTCATCATCTTATTCTGCCTCCTGATACTGTAGCACCTCATCTGAAGGCCTCCGTAGTTTTCTATTAACTGAAATCTGAGTTTATGTTTTTTTTCCTGACCGTGTAGAGAAGGACCTGGAGGTCTACCAAAGCATTGCAGACCTCACAGTGAAGGCAAAAGATCAAGCGGTGTTCAAGTGTGAGGTGTCGGATGAGAAAGTTAGAGGAACCTGGTACAAGAACGGTGTGGAAGTCAAACCCGATGCCAGAGTAAATATCACGCACATTGGCAGGTGAGGACTCTCATACAAAAGCTTTAAAAATGCTAAATATTTTTCAATGAACTAAACTTCTGAACAAAAATGTAGGAACCACAAACTGACCATTGATGACGTCAAACCAGAGGATGAGGGAGACTACACTTTTGTGCCAGATGGCCACGCTTTCAACCTTTCTGCTAAACTCAATTTCTTGGGTAATATTGATAGTTTTGCATTTACTATTCAAAATCAATATCATTCATAGTTTCACAAGCTTAATTTTTCTCGAACAATTTATTTCTCTCCTCTTTCCTAGACGTGAAGATTGATTTTGTGCCACGCCAGGGTAAGAAAAACTTACTCTCATATAGTAAACCAAATGAAATTCAAGGGTCTGTTCATTTGAACCATTACTCTCTTCCTCTATTAGATCCTCCTAAGATCCACCTGGACTGTATGGGCCGCACGTCCGATTCCACCATCGTGGTGGTCGCTGGCAACAAACTGCGTCTGGATGTCCCCATCACTGGAGACCCTGCTCCCACAGTGATCTGGACCAAAGGAGGGAAGGTAAAACAGACAGATAGACTTATGTTATTTGTCAGCTGCACTCTTCATCTGACATCTACTGTTTATCCAGAGCCAGTAGGTAAGTCTGAAAACTGAGCCTAAACTGAGCAAATGTAAACAATGTGCAATGGAATTATATTGTAATGCAAGCTGAGGATAATACAACTGTTTGGGTATTTAGCTATTAATGCATTCCTCGCTGCTAATAAATAAAGTACAATGCTACTAACAGAGAACAGAGAGGGTTACCTACCCTCTCTGTTCCCTTTGGCTTTTACCGCTTTGCTCTGCTTGAATATAGGCTAGTTCTGTCAAAGCTGACGGAGAAGAGACAGAAGGGCCGGAATCTTCTTGGACCCTGAAGCATGGGGAAGTAAGTGTGCATGTCCACTATCAATATATGCCTGTTCATACTACACTGAAATACAAGACACTGAATGTAGTTTACTACCTCTTTGTACCTAAAGTAAACGATGGGCTTATAGTGTATTGGATGTACAACTACAGTATAGCCAATAGCATTTGACCTTATGTAAACTTGCAACTGTGTAACAAGTTGAGTTCAAGGCACAAGATAATTGATGGTGCGGCTACTTGACTGAACATGTTGTGGGTTCCATTGATTTACTGCCTTACTACCCCGGAGCAAGATGAGGCTGCAGCAGTAACAACAACAAACAGAACCAGACAAATACACACAAGCATCTTTAAGGATGTATAAGTGCCCTTTTCTATTCATGTCAGTTTCACATAGCTTTAGAAACACAGTGCATGGGGTCAGTATTTATCCAAGTCAATAAGGTAATAGCCTGTTCTGAATCTCACTATGGACACACAGGTCACAGGAAATGGGTAAGTATGTTTCCATAGAAAGGGACTATGTGAAACATTCTTTACTTTCATTGACCAACCAAATAAAGATAGATGATGTTGTGCTAGATTACTTTACATTTCCAGGAGGCAAAATCCAACAGGCACAGTGACAGTAGAGAAAAAGGTCCACCATATCTTAATGTGATTTGTTTTCCCTGCATGCTTATGGTTTCTACAAAGTTCATTTTAGTGACTATTTACTGTCAGCAGATATGTAATATTAACAATATTAGTTTTCAAGCTACTACTCAGTATTTCCAAGTGCCTATTCTCCATTTGCATGGTAAAATCTGGAGATTTGTGTTGTAGAGCTACTGAGATTAATGGAGTAATCAATCAATTATCAACTATTAAAAAAACTGGCCACTATTTTGATAATCCTTTAGTTCTGTTTGGACAAAAAACGAATTTAACTAAAAAGTCAACATTTCTGACTGATTCTTAAATGAATGAATGAATGATTTTTGTTTTACTCCTCTATGATTTGAACTAAATATATTTGAATTGGGGGACAAGTCAATACATTTGAGGACATCATGTGTTTGTTTTTTCTACCAAACACTTCCCTTGATACCTCAACAAAGTCGGTATTGAAATCCTTCAAAATGTGGCATGATGTTAATATACTACATGTAGTTAACCAGCATCTTTACCTCTAGAACCTGCAACGCTACTATTGATCAGTTTTGTGTTTCTCAGTCCAGTAACTGTCCGTTGGTTGTCATTGTGTATGGCAGGTCGTCACAGAGGGAGACAGCAGGGTCCATGTTGAAACCACCAAAGGACACTGTATCTTCACCATTGAGGGGGCGGAGAGGCAGGACGAGGGATTATACTCTGTTGTGGTTCGAAACCCGGCCGGGGAGGACACTGCTGATATCAATGTGAAAGTTGTCGGTAAGACTGACCCCACTGCTAATAGGGAGGCTGTGGCTCAGTGGATAGTGTGCTGGACTTCGAATCAGGGGATAGCAAGTTTGAGTCCCACTGCAGTCAGCATGTCGTTGTGTCCCTGGGCAAGACACTTCACCCCAAATTGCTCCTGTGGGGATTGTTCAAAGTATTGAGTGTGTAAGTCGCTTTGGATAAAAGCGTCTAACAAATGACTTGTAATGTAATGACATGTAATGTAATTACCACACAAACAAATTCAAGTAGCAGCATCACTTCATCAAATCATAGAGCTAGAATGGCTTTAAATAATCCTAACAACTGTAAATCTCTTTGGCTGGATTTGTGTGTAAAAACACAAATGTGTCTTTTCTCTAAACACATGCCATGTTTCCCCCAGATGTTCCAGACCCTCCCCAGACTCCCAGAGTCCTCAGCGTGGGGGAGGACTCCTGTGTGGTTCAGTGGGACCCCCCTCTTTTTGATGGTGGACAGCCAATTATTGGTAAAAAAATGTTTAATTGTTCATATTATAGGGAAGTCTTCTCCTCCTTGTCTTGTTCTGAAAAGATAAGTGAATCAACATTTTAATTATTAGGCTATGTGCTGGAGAGGAAGAAGAAGAAGAGCTACAGGTGGATGAGACTGAACTTTGACCCTTACACTGACACTACCTTTGAAGCCAAGCGGATGATTGAGGGGATGGAGTATGAGATGCGAGTCTATGCCGTCAACGGCATCGGCATGTCTCGCCACAGTCCAGCCTCACAGCCTTTCGTGCCAGTCGGTAAGTCTTTAGTTTTATACCAGCTCCTACCACACGTGAAATTAGTCAATTAATAATTTTCCCAAATTGCTCCACAACTGTTCCATACTAAAGATCATGCATGTATGAGTAGATTCAATTCAGAATCAGAATACTTTATTGCCAATCATATTAAGATAAACGGAAATTTGTCTTTGGCACTGGAAAGTAAAATATCAATCAACACACACACAATTAATACACACACAAAAAAGGAAATGGCATCTCCATTTGACTAAGTGGCAGTCTTAATAAAAGTGCTGAGTGGTTTGTTCTTCAACTGGCTTGGGTACATTAAAATATCAGTAGTATGAAAAATAAATAATT